AGCTCAACTACCACAATCGGAAAGTCGAAGATGTTAAAATTGGCTTTAGCCCCTGTAGAGGCTGGCAGGTGTTGGCCCTGGCTGGGTAGCTCAGTTGGTAGAGCAGTTGGACAGTGTGCAAGAGTCCCAGGTTCGAATCCCAGGGGGAACCTGCAGTTTTCCTACCAGCCTAGCGATTGGTCCAGCTCAACTACCACAATCGGAAAGTCGATGCTGTTGAAATCGGCTATAGTACTTTAAACATACTGGAATTGGTCTGAACTAGTACAATCGGTGTGTCGCGATTGGTCTAGCTCAACTACCACAATCGGAAAGTCGAAGATGTTAAAATTGGCTTTAGCCCCTGTAGAGGCTGGCAGGTGTTGGCCCTGGCTGGGTAGCTCAGTTGGTAGAGCGGTTGGACAGTGTGCAAGAGTCCCAGGTTCGAATCCCAGGGGGAACCTGCAGTTTTCCTACCAGCCTAGCGATTGGTCCAGCTGAACTACCACAATCCGAAAGTTGATGCTGTCGAAATCGGCTCTAGTACTTTAAACATACTGGAATTGGTCCGAACTAGTACAATCGGTGTGTCGCGATTGGTCTAGCTCAACCACCACAATCGGAAAGTCGAAGATGTTAAAACTGGCTCTAGCCCCTGTATAGGGTTGCGTTTGTTGGCCCTGGCTGGGTAGCTCAGTTGGTATAGCAGTCACACTGTTCTCAAAAGTTTTGGGTTCGAATCCTGGTCGAGCCTGGTCCCTGGTCAATGGGAATTAGAGTTTCTAGCATTAATGGGGTGGGGTTTTTCTCTTTGTAAACCCGACTGTTTGTTTATCTCAACTCTCCTCAAGAAGGAGTCCGAATCTGCACAGATGCGTTTCCGGTGCATTTCCAATTCTCAGACGACACGAAGATTCTGCATGTTGGTTATCATGGTAAGCAGTATACGTGTTTATTATTTGCGAATGATATTTGTAAGTCTGCTTGATGATGTGTTATCTGATTTCAGCAGAGAAGAAGGTTTGTCTCATGTATTATCATCACACTGAGGATAGCTAATTTATAAAGTCATGTAGGTTTACAGGGTTCTCCGCAGGCCTTTATCGTATCGGCAACGATACGCAACTCTTTTTGTTGTACGCTTCTTTTTTTTTTGGCATTACGATTCTTTGAACTCCAATACCCTTGAAGAATGTGTGTGCCCAATGCCTTTAATGCCTTTATTCCCGACAGTCGCGATGCAAACGACTTGTGTGCATACTTGAATCTCTTGTGTGCACGTTAAGTTGTTTATTTTTATTCTGCCTGGTGCAGTAATACAAGTTTTAACATCTCATGTTGAGGGCGCGGGATCTGGGCACTGACAAGTTTTGAATATCAACATCTGCTTATTAGTTTCATCATCAATGTAATTCTGTGAGATTTGTTTGCTTTATCTATATTTTTGGAGATATATAATAAATGGTCTATCCTTCATGTTATTTTGACTGAAGAATAGTAGCAGTCCTGATCATTTATAAATAAATGAATCCATGTGGCAAGATCAGAAAGAATGCAGTGCTATTTTCCCGCAAAATTTGGTCCTGCACGTGGGCTATGTTATAATGATTTAATGAGATGCAATCTGGATTACTCGCGAAATCAGGTCAGCTTCAGTCACGTGTACAGTATTTGGCTTTTTCATTGGATGTTTCTCTTCACAGTTTGATGAAGGATCAAAATGCCACCCCGAAGACATGTGCGGTCGCATAATATTACAAAATTCTTTCACGTGGTTCCTAGAGTTGGTAAACAAACACGTGGAGGTCACGTCCACTGGTACTGCAGATGAATCTCCTGAAAGGAATCAAGATAATGACCCCGTTTTGTCCGCCACAGCCATGGTGGACCTCATAGACACTGCTGTGTCCAGTAATATCAGGGCTGTAACAGAAGACCATGGAAAATTGAAATAGCCGAGGGATCCGAAAAAAAGAAAAACGGGCGTCAACCCCCCACGGCTTACTACGTATACATGGCAACAGGTGACTGCTGACAAGAAGGGTGTGGTTTTTTTTCATGTTAAAATGTCAAAAAACAATTGAATATCCGTATAACGTTAGTCTACTCTAGTATGTCATGGATATTTATTTAGCAAAAAATCAAAAATGGAAACTTTTTGTAGGAAGTCCAGATTTACACTTCAGACCCCGGACCCCAGTTCAGTTCTATAACCCAATAAATCTCCACCGGACAGTATAGTACTGTCCATTTGCGGACATGTCTTAGGTCTAGTGCATTTGTACTGATATTTTTGGTGTTTTCAGGAATGCTATGTCGAATATAGTGTCTGAGGGCAAGGGTATAGATATTGAATCAAAGCTGTACATGCAAAATTAAGTTGGCAGATTTATACTGTGTTCTTAGACCCCATTTCCACAGATTAGATCGATCTACTTTAGATCAACCTAACTCCCTGGGGGTTCTCGCTAAATAGCTGTCAGTCGAGCGGACACGAAAGTTAATTACCCCCTTACAGCTTGTAGTAGGCAGGACGGACATTTAAGCCACATTATCTGACAGTAATCTAGTGAGACTCCTCGCGGGGATAGATCGATCTAAAAGCTCTGGGAATACAGCCTTAATATGCAGTCATTTCAGTATTGGTCATGCACAGAGCTGCAGTTTTTTATGTATTTTTTACTTTTGTATGCAAGTAAATATTTCTTGAAATGATTGTTTTTTTAACTGAGATCTACTTTTATAAATCTAAATAGATGTAAACTGGTCCTAAATACACCATAGCAACCTGCATTACATTATGCTGTTAGTGGGACTGAAGAGCTTCAGATTGCATGAAATTGCACCCTTTTTGCATGAAATAATGAAAATTTTTCCTCCGGAATACACTACCCCAGACCCCCCCCCCCCCCTTGTGCAACAATAATATTGTTATATTTTGTTGTTCTCTTCAATCCCCTTTTGACCCTTACAACTAGATCCCTTTTGACACTCACAGCTAGAAAAAAATTAATGCATTCATTCTGAAGCCTGTGTACTGCCTGTTGTTATGCTGTATGTGTCTCTATATATTCTAATCACTATGCATGTCTGTTTTGTGGCTGTATGTGTTTATATATACTTTGAACCTTGTAGCCTTAGTAGAGGTCAGTGCAAAAAAAAAAAAAAATTATACAGTGTTCTCTTCAAACCCAACCATCACCACTATATAATATAATACCTGGGAATATATCACTTTGTTAAAGGGACACTTAGATCCCACCTAGTTTCATATATGTTCAGAGTTAAAAGGGTTAATGTGAACTTGTGGGGGTGAGCAAGAATTTCTGACAGTCATTTAAATCCCTACATATGAACTTTTAATTTAATGTTTGTAGTCTCATGCCTCACAATACATTGTCTTTTGTGACACTGTATGGCCCATTCACATCGAGTTGAGCCATGGCTCTTCAAAGCCACGACCTAAATATGGCGGACGTACATGAAAGGAAAACTGCCTAATATTTTAATAGTCTCTCCGCCTTTCACACACCTCCCCATGCATCGTCCCTGCGGGGGTACAGTCATCAAATCTTGGCTCCATTGGGATGATACTTGGGGAGGCATGTGAGGGACGGAGGGACTATTAAAAGATTAGGCAGTTTTCCTTTCATTTACAACCGCCATATTTAGGTCATGGCTTTGTAGAGCCATGGCTCAACTCGATGTGAATGCGGCCTATGTGTCTATATATATTCTGATCACTATCTATGTTTGTTTTGTAAAAGGGTCACTTAGAGATTTATATTTGTTCAGAGTTAAAAAGCTAATGTGAACTCGTGGACGTAATCAAAAATTTCTGACGGTCATTCCAATCCCTGTATATAAACATTAATTTTATGTTTATATTCTGATGCTTTAGAGTGCATTGAATTTTGTGAGGCTGTATGTGTCTGTATAAATTCTGATCACTATCTATGTTTGTGTTGTGGCTGTATGTGTTTATATATTTTTTTATCACTGTGATGTGTCTATTTTGTAACTGCTGTATGTCTGCATATATTCTTTTCAGCGGAGATGAAGAAGTGTCTTCTGGATTATCATTACACTGAGGACAGCTACACTCATCATCACATCAAGATCTACAGCATTGCAGCCTCACCACAGGTCAGTGCAAAAATGATATTGCTATACTTTGTTGTTCTCTTCAATCCCCTTTTGATCCTTACCACTTTATATAGTTCCTGGGAAATTATTATTTTTAAAGGGGTCACTTGGGGACAATCCCCCAGATATTTGGATTGATCTATCTCCCTGGGGAGTGTGACTAAATTGCTATCAACTTAACTGTCTTAAATGTCTATCACACTTAGAAAAGCTGTAAGGGGGTAATTATCTTTACCCCTGTGTTGGTTTGATATCCCTGGCAGACAATTAAGTCGATTAAGTTGATGGCAATATAGTGAGACTCCTTAGGGAGTTAGACCGATCCAGATGGATTGATCAAGGTATGGGAACCCAGTCTTAGATCCCACACAATTTTATATATGTTCAAATTAACAAGGGTTGATATGAGCTCATAGGGGTTGCAGTGGGCAGGCGCTGAGAAAAATCTGTATAGGTGAAATTTCCTGCAAATTATCATTTTTAAAAGGGTCACTTAAATCCCACAGAGTGTTTATATGTTCAGAGTGAAAAGGGTTAATATGAACTAATGGATGTGAACAAGAATTTCTGACAGTCATTTCAATTCCTATATACAAACATTGAATTTAATGTTTTCTCATGCCTTACACTGTCTTTTGTGACAGTGTGTGTCTGTATATATTCTGCTTACTGTATATGTCTGTTTTGTCATTGTTTGAATGTTTAATATATTCCGATCTCTGTATTATATCTGTGTTGTATATACTGTATGTGCCTGTATATGTTATATATTGATGATTTGTTCTCTTATTTCAGTAGAGATGAAGGTATGTCTCTTGGACCCCACTTCCATAGATTTTAGATCGATCTATCCCTGTAGGGAGTCTCACTAGATTACTGTCAGCTTAGCCGGCTTAAGTGTCTGTCCCGCCTACTGTAAGCTGTAAAGGGGTAATTAGCTATGGTGCGTGCTCAGCTGACTGCAATTTAGTTTGAACCCCCAGGGAGTTAGGTCGATCTAAATCTTAATCCTTGAATCAATCTAAATCTCTGGGAATACAGCCTTGGATTATCATCCAACTGAGGACAGCTAATTTATAAACTCATCATCACCAGCAAGATCTACAATGTCACAGCTTCAGCACAGGTCAGTGCAACAATAATATTGTTATACTTTGTTGTTCTCTTCAATACCCTTTTGACCCTCACAACTAGAAAAAATTTAATGCATACATTCTGAAGCCTGTGTACTGCCTGTTGTGATGCTGTATGTGTCACTATATATTCTGATCACTATGCATGTCTGTTTTGTGGCTGTATGTGTTTATATATATTTTGATCACTGTGATGTGTCTATGTTGTAACTGCTGTATATGTCTGCATATATTCTTAATTAATGATGTGTTCTCTGATTTCAGCAGAGGTGAAGGTGTATCTCCTTGATTATATCATCATACTTAGGACATCTAAACTCATCATCACATCAAGACCACAACATCGCAGCCTCAGCACAAGTCAGTGCAATAATGATATTGCTATACTTTGTTGTTCTCTTCAATCCCCTTTTGACCAGCACCACTTTATATATTATCTTGGTAATTATCATTTTGTAAAAGGGTCACTTAGTTCCTACTCAGTTTTAACTATGTTCAAAGTGAAAATAATGTCAACTTGAGGGGTGAACAAAAATTTCTGAGTCATTCCAATCCCTATAAATAAACACTAAATTTTGTTTTTATTCTGATGCCTCACAGTGCATTGTGTTTTGTGACACTAAATATGTGTGTGTATTTTCTGATCAATGTATATGTGTGTTTTATCACTGTATGACTGTTTAAAGATATTCTGATCTCTGTGTTATGTTTGTGTTGTAACTACTGTGTACGTCTGCATATATTCTTTATTGATGATGTGTTTTCTGATTTCAATAGAGATGAAGATATGTCTGTTGGATTATCATTTCACTGAGGACAGCTTATTTATAAACTCATCATCACCTACAATATCTACAACCTTGTAGCCTTAGTAGAGGTCAGTGCAAAAAAAAAAAAAATTATACTCTGTTCTATTCAAACCCTTTGTGACCATCACCACTATATAATATAATACCTGGGAATATATCACTTTGTTAAAGGGACACTTAGATCCCACTCAGTTTTATATATGTTCAGAGTTAAAAGGGTTAATGTGAACTTGTGGGGGTGACCAAGAATGTCTGACAGTCATTTAAAACCCCATATATGCATGAACTTTAAATTTAATGTTTGTATTCTCATGCCTCACAAACCATTGTCTTTTGTGACACTGTGTGTGTCTATATATATTCTGATCACTATCTATGTTTGTTTTGTAAAAGGGTCACCTAGAGATTTATATATGTTCAGAGTTTAAAAGGTTAATGTGAACTCGTGGACCTAATCAAAAATTTCTGACGGTCATTCCAATCCCTGTATGTAAACATTAAATTTTATGTTTATATTCTGATGCTTTAGAGTGCATTGAATTTTGTGAGGCTGTATGTGTCTGTATTTATTCTGATCAGTATCTATGTTTGTGTTGTGGCTGTATGTGATAGATACAATATGAGTTGCCGAGCTGTACGTGAAATATTACGAGTGTATTGGCAAGCCGCAGGCGAGACAATACACGAGTAATTTTCACGTACAGCTCGGCGACGAGTGTTGTATCTGGCTTAAACCACGGCCTCTGATTGGCTACTACACTAGTGAGGAACGGGAGTGCAACAGACGGTGGAACGCACTCGTACATGATGTGCATGTATGTCGAATACAGCACGGCCAGGCTTTTGTTCTACGTGCTAGCCGTGGTTTAAGTGTTTATATATATTTTGATCACTGTGATGTGTCTATTTTGTAACTGCTGTATATGTCTGCATATATTCTTTTCAGCGGAGATGAAGGTGTGTCTTCTGGATTATCATCACACTGAGGACAGCTAAACTAATCATCACATCAAGATCTACAGCATTGCAGCCTCACCACAGGTCAGTGCAAAAATGATATTGCTATACTTTGTTGTTCTCTTCATTCCCCTTTTGATCCTTACCACTTTATATAATTCCTGGGAAATTATTATTTTTAAAGGGATCACTTTTGGACAATCCCCTAGATATTTGGATTGATCTATCTCCCTGGGGAGTCTAAATAAATTGCTATAAACTTAACCGTCTTAAATGTCTGTTGAGCTTAGTAAAGCTGTAAGGGGGTAATTATCTTTATGCAGCCTTAGAGTGCATTGAATTTTGTGAGGCTGTATGTGTCTGTATAAATTCTGATCACTATCTATGTTTATGTTGTGGCTGTATGTGTTTATATATATTTTGATCACTGTGACGTGTCTGTGTTGCAACTGCTGTATAAGTCTGCATATATTCTTTTCAGCGGAGATGAAGGTGTGTCTTTTGGATTATCATCACACTGAGGACAGCTAAACTCAACATCATATCAGGATCTCCAGCATCGCAGCCTTACCAAAGGTCAGCGCAAAAATGATATTGCTATACTTTGTTGTTCTCTTCAATCCCCTTTTGATCCTTACCACTTTATATAGTTCCTGGGAAATTATCATTTTTAAAAGGGTCACTTGGGGACAGTCCCACAGATATTTGGATTGATCTATCTCCCTGGGGAGTGTGACTAAATTGCTATCAACTTAACTGTCTTAAATGTCTATCACACTTAGAAAAGCTGTAAGGGGGTAATTATCTTTACCCCCGTGTTGGTTCGATATCCCTGGCAGACAATTAAGTCGATTAAGTTGATAGCAATCTAGTGAGACTCCTTAGGGAGTTAGACTGATCCGGATGGATTGATCAAGGTATGGGAACCCAGTCTTAGATCCCACACAGTTTTATATATGTTCAAATTGACAAGGGTTGATGTGAACTCATAGGGGTTGGGGTGGGAAGGCGCTGAGAAAAATCTGTATATAGAAGAAATTTCCTGCATATTATCATTTTTAAAAGGGTCACTTAAATCCCACCGAGTCTTTTATATGTTCAGAGTGAAAATTAAGGGTTAATATGAACTGGTGGATGTGAACAAGAATTTCTGACAGTCATTCCAATTCCTATATATAAACATTAAATTTAATGTTTTCTCATGCCTTACAGTGCATTGTCTTTTGTGACAGTGTGTGTCTGTATATATTCTGCTTACTGTATATGTCTGCTTTGTCATTGTTTGAATGTTTAAATATATTCTGATCTCTGTATTATATCTGTGTTGTGTATACTGTATGTGCCTGTATTCTCTGATTTCAGCAGAGATGAAGGTATGTCTTTTGGATTATCATCCAACTGAGGACAGCTTATTTTTAACTCATCATCACCAGCAAGATCTACAATGTCACAGCTTCAGCACAGGTCAGTGCAACAATAATATTGTTATACTTTGTTGTTCTCTTCAATACCCTTTTGACCCTCACAACTAGAAAAAAATTCCTGCATGCATTCTGAAGCCTGTGTACTGCCTGTTGCATTGCTTTATGTGTCTCTATATATTCTGATCACTATGCATGTCTGTTTTGTATGTGTTTATATATATTTTGATCACTGTAATGTGTCTATGTTGTAACTGCCGTATATGTCTGCATATATTCTCAATTAATGATGTGTTCTCTGATTTCAGCAGAGATGAAGGTGTATCTCCTTGATTATCATCATACGACATCTAAACTGATCATCACATCAAGACCACAACATTGCAGCCTCAGCACAGGTCAGTGCAATAATGATATTGCTATACTTTGTTGTTCTCTTCTATCCCCTTTTGACAGTCACAACTATAATTAGTAGCTGTATAATTATCATTTTGTAAAAGGGCAACTTATATCCCACTGAGTTTTATATATGTACAAATTGACAAGGGTTGATATGAACTTGTAGGAGTTGTTTTGGGATGGCACTGAGTTTTCAACGGATATGACGGTATGAATCCTGGATTATCATCACACTGACGACAGCTTTTTTATAAACTCATCATCACTAGCAAGATCTACAATGTTGCAGCCTCAGCACAGGTCAGTGCAACAATAATATTGCTTTACTTAGTTGTTCATTTCAATCCCTTTTGACCCTCACAACTAGAAAAAAAATGCCTGCATACATTCTGAAGCCTGTGTACTGCCTGTTGTGATGCTGTATGTGTCTCTATATATTCTGATCACTATGCATGTTTGTTTTGTGGCTGTATGTGTTTATATATATTTTGATCACTGTGATATGTCTATGATGTAACTGCTGTATATGTCTGTATATATTCTTAATTAATGATGTGTTCTATGATTTCAGCAGAAATGAAGGTGTATATCCTTGATATCATCATACTAAGGATATCTAAACTCATCATCACATCAAGACTACAACGTTGCAGCCTCAGCACAGGTCAGTGCAATAGTGATATTGCTATACTTTGTTGTTCTCTTCAATCCCCTTTTTACCTGCACCACTATATATATTTTCTTGGTAATTATCATTTTGTAAAAGGGCCACTTAGGTCCTACTCAGTTTTATCTGTGTTCAAAGTAAAAATAATGTCAACTTGTGGGGGCGAACAAAAATTTCTGACAGTCATTTCAATCCCTATAAATAAACACTAAATTTTGATTTATTCTGATGCCTCACAGTGCATTGTGTTTTGTGACACTAAATATGATTGTGTATTTTCTGATCACTGTATATGTGTGTTTTATCATTGTATGACTGTTTAAATATAATCTTATCTTTGTGTTATATTTGTGTTGTAACTACTGTGTATGTCTGCATACATTCTTTATTGATGATGTGTTTTCTGATTTCAGCAGAGATGAAGGTATGTCTGTTGGATTATCATTTCACTGAAGACAGCTAATTTATAAACTCTTCATCACCTACGATATCTACAACCTTGTAGTCTTAGTAGAGGTCAGTGCAAAAAAAAAAAAAAAAAATATATATATATATATATATATATATATATATATATATATATATATATATATATATATATATATATATATATATATATTTTTTTTTTTTTTTTTTAAATTCAATGTTTATTGTGTTCTCTTCAAACCCTTTGTGGCCATCACCACTATATAATATGATATAATAACTGGGAATATATCACTTTGTTATAGGGACACTTAGATCCCACTCAGTTTTATATATATGTTAGAAGGGTTAATGTGAACTTGTGGGGGTGAGCAAGAATTACTGCCAGTCATTTAAATCCCTATATATGAACTTTAAATTCAATGTTTATATTCTCATGCCTCACAGTGTCTTTTGTTACACTGTACGTGTCTATTTATATTCTGATCACTATCTATGTATGTTTTGTAAAAGGGTCACTTAGAGATTTATATATGTTTAGAGTTTAAAAGGTTAATGTGAACTCGTGAACGTAATCAAAATTTTCTGACAGTCATTCCAATCCCTGTATATAAACATTGAATTTTATGTTTATATTCTGATGCCTTAGGCTTCATTCACATGCAATGTCTATTTTCTGAATTCTTTTTTCTATTCGCGGTATGTCTTATGATCACGGTCTGTGCCCTGAATATCCCGCGGCGTAATTACTGGAAGCGCGAGCCAGTTACTTATACAAAGCTGTAATTAATTCTCGGCTGTGCTCGGAGGAGATTCTGATACCTTGACGCATGCGCAGTAGTATCTCTAAGTTGTGGAGTTCATCAGTTTAGTTGTGACGACTCAAGCATACAGACACGTAATATGGCTAGTGGTAGTGCAAAACAATTTGGAGGAAGGTCAAAGGGTGTGGAAAATTGGACAGATGCTGAGACTGTCGCACTCATCAACATCTGGGGGGAGGAAGATATGCAAGCACATTTTGCGTGTGTGCATTTCACTAATGTTCAGGTATTCAGAAAGATTGTGGAGCGGCTGAGAAAGGATTACGGTGTTGATCGTTCGGGCCAGGCTTGCCAGAACAGAATCAGAAAGTTAAAGAACTACAAAAAAGTAAAAGACAACAACAAGTGAGTTTCTTTTGAATTTTGCAATTATCAATTACACTGTCAGATTTTCGACTTCATTCACCTTCTTATTTTTATGTANGTCGGTATAAATTCTGATCACTATCTATGTTTGTGTTGTGGCTGTATGTGTTTATATATATTTTGATCACTGTGATGTGTCTATTTTGTAACTGCTGTATATGTCTGCTTATATTCTTTTCAGCGGAGATGAAGGTGTGTCTTCTGGATTATCATCACACTGAGGACAGCTAAACTCGTCATCACATCAAGATCTCCAGCATCGCAGCCTCACCACAGGTCAGCGCAAAAATGATATTGCTATACTTTGTTGTTCTCTTCAATCCCCTTTTGATCCTTACCCGACGCACAGCTGATGAGCCACCGTTATACCGACGTCAGGCCAATGGCATGAAGCAGTCGTTGGCCCGACGTCGGGTCACCAGTAGCGCGACCACTTATTGCTATCTGGGAATATTGCTTTACCTGTGTTCGGTGTTCATCATCACTATATATAGTCAGGGGCGGATTTAGGCCGTCTTCTGGGTCTTCCGGAAGACGGTCAGATTTTCAAGTTTACATTGACGGGTATCTAATTTTTCTGTCGGAAGATGGTCAAAAATGGGGGATGGCGCAACAAAGATAATTTGGAAGACTGTCAGAAAATATCTCTGGATCCGCCACTGATACTACCTGGGAAATTATCATTTTGTAAAAGGGTCACTTAGAGATTTATATGTGTTATGAGTTAAGAATAATATGCCCAAAACTTTCAGATGAGGTCAAACCACTAGCAAGGCAGGAGATAGGACTATCTCAGCCTAGAGAAAGGAAGAGTACCAACCGTTAAGGAACTTTGTAATTATGTTGGCTTGCAGCAAGTGGCAATAATTCCCCGTTGAGCATGAACAGTGTGACAAGCGGGGATTGATTTGCATATTTGTGCACATAGCATTGGCTTGACGTCACCTCATTTGCATTGCCATTGTGTTTTGCCCTATAATTTCCTCATCAGCCTGTAAGAATGCAAACGTCAGAAAATGATCAATTAGCTGTTACATGACATATAAGCATAATGGTATAACAATGAAAAAAGGCTTCAAAATCAACCATCCCCAGGGATAGCCAAAACCTCTGTTGAACTAATTATGAAATGCCCATGCATATCCTTGAGGAAACAGCTATCATTCACCAAAGTTTCAACTTCTAAAGTCTAATGTTCTAAGAGGAGATCAGGGAAATTATAACGTGAAAAAAATTTTGAACAACTATCCCCCCACAAGGACATCCCAATGCCCTCTTGAAATAATTCTGAAGTGCCAACGCACTTCCCTGATGACAGGTCTAGCAATCACCAAAGTTTCAATTATCTAACTCAAATAGTCTAGGAGGAGATAACAGAAATAACATGAAGAGAATTCCGAATCATCCTGCCCCCCCCCAGGGACAGCGCAACCCCCTGTTGCACTAAAATTTTAGAATGCCAACACACATTTTGACTACAGTTCTACCAATCATCAAAGTTTCAAGTTCTTAAGTCTAATGGTCTAAGAGGAGATTGGGGAAATTACAACGTGAAAAAAATTTTGAACAACTACTTCCCCCCCCCCCTCAAGGACATCCCTATGTCCTCTTGAAATAATTCTGAAATGCCAATGCACTTCCCTGATGACAGGTCTAGCAATCACCAAAGTTTCAATTATCTAACTCAAATAGTCTAGGAGGAGATAACAGAAATAACGTGAAAAGAATTCAGAATCATCTCCTCCACCCCCCCCCCAAAGGAGAGCGCAACCCCCTGTTGCACTAAAATTCTGAAATGCCAACACACATTTTGACTACAGTTTCACCAATCACCAAAGTTTCCAGTTTTTAATAGTCTAGTAGGAGACATTTTTAATATGATTTTCATTTTTCTCAAATATATTGTTCTTTTTCCAGGTGACCCTTTCCATACAGCATGGTGGCTTCTTGGGGAACTGACTCTACCTATCTTGTAATGGATAATACCTATAGAAAAAGTAGGCAGTGAAAAACAGCAGCAAGAGCAGTGCATTATCTCATCCATGTGTAGAATACATGATATGTGGCAAGATTATAAACGTCAAATGATGTGCAAAGCCTGATTTTAGACACCCATTACAAGGAGGAATCTGCATCTGGTATTGGTAGTAAGAAGAAATCTTGAATGGATATATATTGTTTCCAGATGACAATAATGGGTAATTTGTCTCCTCTTACACAACCAAACTCAAATCATAACATAAAATGCTTCATTTGATACTGAATAATATTATTGTAATACTGAAAATTTTATTTTTTGTCATTCTCAATCTTCTCCTATCAATTGCCAATAAATGAGGCAGTCAACTGATACACTTATCTCAGATTATTATAGTTGTTAAGCTTATTTTTTACAAATTTTACAAACATTGGACTAGATTTGTCAACATCATATACATTTGAATATGTTAAGGTATGGAATTTGCCAGTGTTTTCAATCTTATTTTTAGTTTTCTTAAATATTTTCTGAAAACATCATTTTCATTAGGCACAGTCAACTGATAAGCTGATCTCAGATTATTTCAGTTGTTAAGCATCATTTGTAGAAATTTCACGAACATTGGACTAGATTTGTCAAAATTATTAACATAAAAGTATTTTAAAGCATGAAATTTGCCTTTTCTTTCTATGCAATTTTTAGTTTTCTCAAATACTGTATATTGTCCGAAAAAATCAATTTCATTACACACAGTCAACTGATAAGCTTATGGCTGATTATTTCAGTTGTTAATTATAAGCTTCATTGTGCAAATTTCACAAAGAATTAAGGAAATTTCACAAAGTTATTAACATTTAACTATTTTTATATACACATCAGCAGTTTTTATGTACAGACACAGATGTTTTTGTCTGTACATTTCACAGCTTTGCTGCCTTGTTTTAATTTAATTTTGCACTTTTCTCAAATATATTGTTTAAAAAAGTTTCATTACACTCAGTGAACAGATAAGCTTTTTCACANCATATGGTAGGCCTATCTTGTGATTCGTCTCTCGGGTGCTGTTACTGTTGATTACCAATATCCATGTGTTCATTATATCTTCATGTGATTCTTTCTTTATATTTTTTTCAGTCGTAGTGGTAGGGGGCACAAAACGTGCAAGCATTTTGATGAACTTGACAAGATACTTGGAAATCGCCCATTGCAAATGCTCCGCAACTTGCTAGATACAAGTACAAGCACCCAAGCCACAGGTAAGCCATTAAAAATTGACAAGCCAGGTGAATGAGAAGATTTGGGGAGTCAATGTTGTAATGTCCTTTGTTTGTAGATCCATCTTCCTGGCATCCACAAACAAACAATTAAGTATAATTACCTTTTTCTTCCAGTAGCTTGCTCCTGGCATTCTGCAAACATGCCACCTTTAGAAAGTGATACAATCTGTCATCTTGATAGTACTACTCCTTTTGATGTTTATTGCAACAAAAAAAGCCATTTTCCACTTTGCCTGAACACAGATGATTATTAAAGCTCATTCTTATATGGTAACAGTTATGTTTGGAAAAGTTGTTTTTCTTCTAGAGGGCATTTAAATAAGGTCATTTGTTTACATTTTATTTCCACTCTGGCCTGCTTTTTACATATAACTTTAGTACAGCTATTTTAATAAGACAATATGGATTGAAATAACTATATGTAACAGGTATATTTTTGATTGTATTACAGATGAGAACTCCCAAGATGATATTTTTGAGGATGGTGATGAAAATATTGACGAGGAGGAAGAGCTGGATGACGCTGTGGAACCACTGGGGTCTCCTAGTGAACGCCAAAGGAGTGCCAGCTTCAGCTCAACGAGTAGCGCTGACAGCTTTATTCCTCTGAGAAGAGGTGGTACTGGTATGTTTAAATATGTTTTTTCTCAAAAGGCTATTTTAAACTGAAGCACAAAGTTGTTGGTTTGCATTCATATTTGAAAGATCCTGGTGACATATGTGTTTTTCTTACTGTGTTTATAATATTATTAATGAGCTAGTCTAGCAGATTAGATTATTAAAATGTACCTACCACTAACCAGTATACATGATAATTCATGAAATTGATGTTACACTTCTTTTGTGAATTATATGTTGTGCATTAAAGGATGAATAGGAAAAAGTCCCTCTGAACAGTCAGCCGTGACCTGTCCCATTGTTGAATATTTAAGGTTTATATTAAATCTTGATTTTGCTATACACTATTAACCGATTACAGTGACGTCATATTTGCTCCGTAACACTAGTCCAGCGGCCATACTGAAGGGAAAGAACGACGGGGAATAGTAGCGTAAATATAGGTGAACCAAATAAAATGAAATAATCTTCATATCGCGAACAAGTACACCAAAAGGAAAATAGTATATACATGTGAAAACTTCAGCTGATCAGCGTGAGCAACCCATATAAACTCAAGACAGTCCAAAAACGTGAAATCCTGACCTACCCCTGTATCCCAACATTGTGGAATTGTCAGAAGCTACTTCACTTTTCTTGTTCATTGGGTAATAACAGTTATAGTTTTAGAGAGTTTACTGTGTAATCATAAGTTCAACCTTTTATAGAGGCAACTTTTTACATAAAGGATAGATATAAGGAGAAATTTGAGCTGACCATCGGGATCAAAGAAGACAGTATGCAGGGTTGTGACAAGAAATATTGCTGTCAGATATGATTTAACTGTACATCATGAAGCTGTCAGGAATTATTTCAGCATTCTTGTGCTTCATTTTGGTTCATTAGGAAGTATTTGTAACATGACTGTTGTTTGAGAGTTCAATATTTTACCATGAATTCAACCATTCACATAAGCAACATTGTTAGCATTTTATTATAAGTCCAGACCTTCACAGAAGCAATGTATTTTTCAAACTTTTGACATTCAATGTAACATAACAACAAGTCAATTCACGAATTGGTCTTTATTTGATTGAAAATACAGGAAAATGCCCATTTTGTATGAATAAAAGTAAACATAAAATGCAAAACATTGTTGCACAATTCAATGACAGATTATCAGGGTCCCTTTCCTTTTGGTTGATAACACTGACATGAAAAATATTTCCATACTTTTAATGATGCAATGCAACATGTACATGAGCATATTAAGTCGAATCAAGCCACCATAATTTGAGGAACCTGTTTAGTATATTTTTAATCTATGTCTAGAGAAATGCTTGATTGAAGACTCACAATTGATATGTGCTGTGTGCAATAATTGTGTGTGGGTATATGTACATATAAGGCCTTAGATGGTGTTA